TGGGGCCACCATGGGGACCTTGGGGACACCAGGAGAACCTTGGGGCCACCATGGGGACCTTGGGGCCACCGGGAGAACCTTGGGGCCACCATGGGGACCTTGAGGACACCAGGAGAACCTTGAGGACACCAGGAGAACCTTGAGGACACCAGGAGAACCTTGGGGCCACCATGGGGACCTTGGGGCCACCAGGAGAACCTTGAGGACACCAGGAAGGACAAGGAATGAATTGAACCCATGTAATTAATTAGGCCGGGTTAATTAACTCTGGATTAATGAACCTCTGGGTTAACTGAACCCAGTTTAATTAATTAGATTGGGTTAATTAAACTCTGGATTAATTAAATTCAAGATTAATGAAACTCTGGGTTACTCAAATTCCAAATAATGAAACTCTGGCTTAATTGAACCCAATTTAATTAATCAGACGGGATTAATTAAACTCTGGATTAATGAAACCTTGGGTTAACTGAATCCAGTTTAATTAATTAGATTGGATTAATTAAACTCTGGATTAACTGAACTCTGGATAAATGGAACCCAATTTAATTAATTAGACTGGATTAATTAAGATCGGGATTAATTAAACTCTGGATTATTTGAACCCTATTTAATTAATTAGACTGGATTTATTAAACTCTGAATTAATTAAACTCTGGATTAATTGAACTCTGGATTAACAGAACACAGTTTAATTAATTAGACTGGATTAATTAAAATCTGAATTAATTAAACTCTGGATAAATTGAGCCCATCTTAATTAATCAGAGTGAATTAATTAAGCTCAGGATTAATTAAGATCAGGATTAATTAAACCCTGCATTAATTAAACCCAGTCTAACCAGTCCCGGCTCCTCCAGGTTCCCACACCCCGCCCACACAATTTGCATAATCAGATGCTCATTTGCATACATATGCATAAGGACGCTGCTCATTTGCATAATGACAGAGCCCCAATTACCCCTAACGAGGCCCCGCCCCCCCGAAGATCCAAAATTTGGGGCAAAATCCCCAAATTGTGGCTGAAAATCCCAAAATTTGGGGCAAAAATCCCAAAATTTGGGGCAAAAATCCAAAATTTGGGGCAAAAATCCAAAATTCGGGGGAAAATTCCTGAAATTTTGGGCAAAAATCCCCAAATTTGGGGCAGAAATTTCCCAACATTTTGGGCAAAAAATCCCCAGATTTGGGGCAAAACTCCAAAATTTGGGGTAAAAATTCTGAAGTTTGGGGCAAAAATCCCAATTTTGGGGCAAAATTGCCAAAGTTTGGGGTAAAAATGCCCAAAGTTGGGATGAAAATTCCAATTTTGGGGCAAAAAAATCCCAAATTTGGTGTAAAAATTCCCAAATTGGGGAAAAAATCCCAAATTTGGGTTAAAAATTCCCAAATTTGGGGTAAAAATCCCAATTTTGGGACAAAAATCCCAAAATTTAGGGCAGAAATTTCTGAATTTTCAGCCTAAATCCTAAAATTTGGGGCAAAAAATCCCAAATTTGCGGTAAAATTTCCCAAATTTGGGGCAAAAACTTGAATTTTGGATGGAAATTCCAATTTTGGGGCAAGAAGCTCCAAATTTGGGGCAAAAATCCCAAAATTTGAGGTAAAATCCCCCAAATTTGGGGGACAAATCCCAAATTTGGGGCCATTTTTGGCTGAAAATGTCAAAATTTTGGGCAAAAATTCCAAAATTTGGGGGCAAAAATCAGCCCCGTCCCCAAGGCCACCCCCGAGGTGTCCCCAAACCCCAAAAATGTCCCCAAATGTCCCCAAATTGTCCCAAACTCCCCAAAATTGTCCCAAATCCCCCAAAACTGTCCAAAAATTGTCCCAAAAGTGTCCCAAATCCCCCAAAATTGTCCAAAAATTATCCCAAATCCCCCAAAATTGTCCCAAATCCCCCAAATTGTCCAAAAATTGCCCCAAAATTGTCCCAAATCCCCCCAAAATTTTCCAAAAATTGTCCCAAATGCCCCCAAAATTGCCCCAAATTGTCCCCAAATCCCCCCAAATTGTCCTAAATCCCCAAAAGTGTCCAAAAATTGTCCCAAAATTGTTCCAAATCCCCCAAAATTGCCCCAAAATTGCCCCAAACCCCCCAAAATTGTCCCAA